GTTGGCAAAACCGAATCGCACACTGAAATCAGAAACTGAAAAATGCTCCACTTTTGGTTTCACAAATATGTTGATCCCTGGGCCAAACTCTTCATCCCAGGTAGGAATCGCTTTTGAGGTTTGGTAATATGCGCGAGTTCCATCTCCGTCTGAGGCAAGAATTTTGCCCATAAGCTAGCATTGTGAAAAGGGGGGGGGGACAGCGACCAGTGATTATAATTCAAAAGTCACTTAATATTGCCTTTCTTCCACTTTAAATCACACGCTCTGGTAACGAAATGAGTGCAGTTCCTCACTTTCGTTAGATTTTTCCTTATTTTTGAAAAATTTTGTCGTCCAAAAACATGTGCTAATTTCGTCTCCCCCCCCCCACAAGGAAGCATAGATCACAAGTACGCCTCTCCCTGCTGAAGATTGCCCGACGGGGCAGCTGGCTGTACCTCTGAAGCACTTCACCGAAGTATGTAATAGAGTTTGCAGGATGGGAACTTCAAGTGCTTAAGCACTCTTTGCAAAAAATGATGCGTCCGATATGCGCTAAACTCTTTTCGTTTGCTGGTGCTTGAACAAAGGGTTGACGTTTGGCCCTCATTTCAAACTTGTTGAAGTACAAAGGTCACGGAAAAGTGTCAATGGAGAGCTTTTCAGAGCTTTCACTTTTTTCACCTTCATCATTGAAATGTTGACAGATGTCAGCACAGGAAAAGTGTGAAGAACTGTGTAAAAATTTTTTGAAAGGTTCCAGGTAGAAGGTGGAAAAATGAGCTTCTCTTACTCAGATTTGTTCTAAATTTTTTAGCTTAGCCGTAGCTTGGGGCTTGCGCTGCTTTCTCAGGCTTTAAACGTCTACCTGCACTCAGCTATATACTAGGCTTCAATGGGCCTGTGAGCAGCGAAAGTCCTAAGTCAGTCGAAAGTCTGTGAAGTCTTACTTGTTCCTTCCAATGGACGATATTCGTGTCGGACACGTACGGTTCAGGTGGTGGGTAAATGAGACCAGTATCAGCGTCAATGAACACAAAATCTACCTGAAAAGGCATAAATCGTGAAAGCATGCTTGACGGCTACAACAGTAACACAAAACGAGTACTCGTGAGTACTTTGCGAGCAATTTGAAATTTTCACGGAAAAACAGCATGAGATACCTGTTCGATATTTTCAGTATCAGCAGTGGCAGTGATGAGATCGCGTATCGGTACAAGATTATTTCTGAAATAATTATTTCACTCAGGAAAGTATAAGGAGAAGAGAGTAAAAACACGTTGCCACGAACAAGTCGTCAAAGTACTCGGAAAGCGAAGGTGTTAAAGGCACAGCCAACAGTCACACCGACATGGTCATTCCGCTCGAAAGGGGAGGTAGCGGAGTGAATTGGATCAGTAGAAAAAAGAAAACAAATAGATAAAAGTGAAGGACAAAATGAGGGGCAAAATTTCTCGAGTAACTGATGTGTTTATCAAGGGGACAAGGACAAGCAGTCTGAGACTGCCCACCGAGTCGAGACGGCTCAATAGCGAGATGAGAGAACAGAGGGGACGGGAGAGGGCACAGGCACCCCGTCGCACAGACCATTGCAAAGTGAGCAAGAGGAGCTGTGGTCGGCAGCACCCATGGCAAGGTTCCCAACAGGGTCAACCCTATGTTGGTACAAGTACCAACGGGGGGGGGTCGTATTTAGTTGAGCTTGGAGGGAGGGGGGTCGTATTTGCTTCGGTTGTAAGAAGTGGCATGTGATGAGGGTGAGTGAGGAGCTGGCGCGGGAGAAAATTTGCCGTTTCAGCGCGCGTATATACCCCCCCCCCGCTCGACGGCATTTTTGGAGGAAAAAGTGGGCGGAGTTTGGTGGGTTGAGTGGTACCAGAATTAAATACTATAGAGAGGAATATGGTGGTCGAGGTGTCGAAAAGGGGGTCGTACCAAGTCCACCTTGGGGGAGGGGGGTCGTAAAAATTTTTGAAAAGTAACAACGATAGGACGACCCTGGTCCCAACGCGCTCGTCGCGCACTTTTGGGCCGGGAAACAGCTCATTTCTTCTTTTGTGTAGAGGTCTATGCTACTCTCGTATGGGAATGATCTACCTGGCTTTATTGTGCAACATGCCTTTTAAAGGTGAGATCGTGAGTATGCTAAAGCAGTGCTTGCAGTGCAAGTAACAGTAGTAAATGTTGAATAAATTTACCTCAGAATACCCATGAGATAAGGAGTGGGATTGTGACATAAATCGATCAGATTATCCGGTACGGCAGGTATGAAAACATGAGGCCAACAAAACGGCTGAATCAGTGCCTCCATAGATTGAACCAGTTTCGACACGGCACAGACCTGAATGCACGACTGGATTGCAATCTGAGAACGTTCTAAGTAGGAGAGGTAATCGTGGATACATTGCTGAAAAAGGGTTATAGTAAAAAGAATCACTTATTGCTAGAAATGTTTCGAAGTTCACCTATTACAAGCAGGTTTCGTGGGTTCAGCGTGATCCAGGCAGGGTGAATATCGCTTGAGGATTCCTCAACGGCACGTCGAGGATTCTCTGCCCGATCAGACACGATCTCTCGCGCGGACATTCACACTCGCCATGCGCGTGCCGTCTGTGCTCTCCGCGCGGATGTTCACTCTCGGCACTACTCTCGCATGGTAGAGAGCTATGGTCGAGGAATTCCTCGACCGTTATTCACCCTGATACAGGTTCGACCACAGCAACAAAGGCCCCAGGCAGGTGAGAAGTCACCAACTAACTGATTTTCCATATATTACAGAAACTATCTGAAGGGACTGGTCAGACGGCTCCTTCAACAGGTTCATCAGTTTTTCGTCACTGCGGGTATTAATTTTGTAATTTGCTCGTTTGAGGGGGGGGGTGTAGCCTTTTACTGAAACTCACTGTGCATGGAGCGGGGTCAAGCATCAGTCGCCGTCCTTGGATAGGAAGTCGTATCAGAATATTTACTGTCATACGAAATTCAACTGTATTACTTATAGCTTCTATTTGTTCAATAAACTTCAAAACTGAACTTGAAGTGGAATTTGAATGTATGGTGCATTCTTGAAAAACTGACATTGAAACTGATCATTCCGGGCCAACATCAGGAAACATAAGAGTAAAGGAAGGTCCCGGGATAAAACGGGTTGTGAAAGGGTTCACTGAGAAGCTGGAAGTGAGGAGCGGCCTGGAAAGAAAAAGAAAGTAAGAGAAACCCCCTGTGACGCGCATGAGAACCTTGCCATTTCGATTGCATTTCATCTCGGTATAGAGAATTAGTGTGCTGGACGATTCCACGAACCTATCTGCACTTGCTCCAGTGCCAATGACATTGGGTGCGGGACTTTTGGTGCGTCCGGGGTTGCACGCGGCGAATTGCGCGGCGATCCGGATGAGACAAGGCTTCGCGTGTTCTGCAGTAGAATTCGAAACGTCAAAGCGTATCAGATTGCGGATAAACACCGCATTGTTCTGCGCTTCGAAAAAAAGTTTCTGCCCGCGGAGATTTGGATGCAGCGGTGTCTGTGAAGAGATTTCAGGCAAAGAAGTAAGGGAGAACTTTCATGGAAACGGCACTTCCATCACCCATGCGATTAAGAAACGCTATAATTAGGAGTTTTTACTGCAATGTTGTTCAGTGTCAACTACATATATTGCGTATATTGCTTTACTGATCGTGGCACTCGTGTCTCTAATCGTAAGAGGACATTCAAAACAGCCGACGGTGGTGACACTAGGACTAAGCCCAGGAGGGGGAGGAACGCCAGGAAGAACACAATTTGCTCCCAGAATCCCCTTCCCCTGAGGCTCAGTTCCAAGCACAGTAATTGGCTCACTCACTGCCTCTCCCAACGACATGACGCCCTGATCGCTGTCACAGCTTTATGTCAGCTCCTTCTCATCCCTTCTTACCAAAGTTTCCTGACCATCACCGCTGAAACTTCGCACGTTGGAATGTAATTGAGTCGCAGAACCTTGCGAAATTTATCCGTTTCACATTTTGACGTGGTAAATTCCACTGCAGACGCCCGCGAGATTTGCATCCGGATCGCCGCGCAGCCGCCGCGCGATGCCGCGTGCCATCCCGGACGCACCAAAAGTCCGTCGCTCAATGACATTGAACTGCAATGGAGCCGCTGCCGCAACTGCGCCCGCGCTTTTCAAGCAGCGTCACGTGGCAACCGACAGTGAAGGCGGGGCTTGCGGACGAAGGTGTGGATTGCGGGTGAGCGAGCTTCTAGCGCTTTGGTCGCGCACTTCCAAGCTCCAGGAGCGCACTGCTATTTCATTTTACAATCCAATGGATCGGATCTTACCCAAGTCAACCAAAATTAGCGTCACCCTGGTAACTACAGCCTTGTGCACAGTCTGGCTACGGATACAAAAAACTGTCTTGGACGTCGACCACCCCCGAGATTAATCGATTGGTGCCCATACACAGAAGGTGCGGAGAGTTCCAAATAATGGCCCACCATGATATACCGCCAAGTTGAAATATGTTACGCTACCTTCCCACCCAATGAATCCGATGCTTGAATTTTCAATATTTTTCTGAATGACGCAAAAATTTTTCCGTTCCCTTGTAATGGTCTTTTTCCATGTTTTCTAGAAAGCTCGTCCATGTCGTCCGACTTGACCAGGCGGACCGTTAATCCTGCACTGAATGTAAGTCTAGTGGATGTGCAGGACGTAGACCACTAAGAATTTTTGCAAAACTGCATGCGAAGTGTTGATCTTTACTAATGTACGTATTAAGAAACATGTTTCCCTTCGAAGATTTGCTTCATATACTTAAGAGACGAATAAAAACCTGGGTAACGGCAACAGCAATTGTCCAAGTGAAACAAACTCACTGTGCGGTCCGCCAATAAAATCCTCTGCTCGCCGAGCAACGACGCTATGATGCAGGTTGTAATTTCAGGAGATATCCTAGAAAATATGCAAATAAACACTTGAACATTTTAATTGACAATAAGGCTGATATACAGACCGTTCAATGATTTTAGCACAACCATTTCGCCCAAGAATTGTTCCCTGATTGAAGATTTCGACCCGATCCGGAAGTCCAGTAACATCGGAACATTTCTCCACCACTACTAGGCTTGCACCTGAAAACTTTCGACTGTTTGCTTTTACTTTGAAGGTGGCCTATTCTTAAGTAACAATCAGTTCAACACTAATGTTCGGCGTCAAGAGTTTGGAAAATGCTGGTTTAGAGCCTCTTGTCTAGTAGTGGACAAACAAGTTACGGAAGCTAGTTAAGCTACTAACTAGTTTAAATAATCAAGTTTGAAAGTTTGATGATTTTCACACATCGGAAGCTTCCGAAATATCCAAGGAAAAAGGTTTCAGAAGTATTGGTTATAAAAATGACCAATACTGCTGTTTTTGTAGCAAAAAAGGAGCATGTGCGAATTCAGGATCGAGGATGGCAATTTTAGCACAGCTCAAGAATCCAATTCGGAAAACTGGTCGACACACCAGTTGATAGTTCGATAGGTCTTACATGGTGCTACCAATATTGGGGAAGGTAGAGTAAAGACGCCTTCCCCTGCTGACGGCCGTTGCCGACCCCTCGTATGGCCGTCTGCCCTCTCACAATGTCCACAGTCTCTCGACTTTTTGCCGGTCCCTCGATTTCGGCGGATCGCGTCTTTTTTGGCGGTCGATGGCATCGATGGTAGATCAAGGCGGTTACCGTATACGCAGTGGTGGTGAAGATCAAGGGAAAGTTTGTTTTGAGTTTTGTAATTCAAAATGGTATGATTCTACTGTATTCCCGACGCTGATACCAAATACGGATTTTTTGTTTGGGATCAAGGGGTTTGTAAGCAGTTGTTCCAAGGCAGCGCACACAGCACAATGGTATGGAAGAGCCCCTGCGGAGAATTGATCAATACGAACGGTATCACCCAACCCAAGGCTTTTTGGTGATCCAAAGGAAAATGACGGTATTCTTTCTCGCAATGTAACACGTCAGTATCTGAAGCTATACAGTGGTTGGGAATCGACGCAGCCGCACACTGCGAAACACAACGTCACTTTACTTTTACAGCCCAGACGCTCGCAGGGCACCAATAAACCACGTCAACTATTTGAGCAGAGACAGCGCAGGACTCATTTGTCCCGCAGCCGCCGCGGTAACACAATCGCGCCTGCCTCACGTAGCAGAAAGATGAAATGCGCGTTGTCGCCAACGTGTCGATGGAAGTACTCCTACGAATTGAGGGCATCACAGAATCTCATTGTGTTGCCATCGAGAAGCAAGCAAGCATGAACTATGCGTACGATTTCACAGCGATCGAATCGGTGTACATGTCATCCATATAAACATATAAAATGCAACTAGGCGTGGTCGCTCAGAGCTATCGTGTCATTCAAAAGCAAAGTTCGGAACTTCTGGACGTAATAAGCTCGTGCGCAATAAATATGGAGTGGAAGGCAGCGCAGAGCATGTACCCACTTGGCGCCACGATTTAGCAAGGCTGAGGTGCTATGACGCAAGGGATTACTACATGCTCCGCCCACCTCCATGTGCCCCGCCCACAAATCATTGCTATTTCGTTTGGCTGCTACTGGGGAAGAGAGCAATTTCCGTCCTTGTCGACGATTACTTGTCGTTTTTTCGTTACTAACATTTCACTTTTCTTCTTTGTCACTTGCAAGCGCTAGCACAACATTTCCATCCTAGGCCTTGCCTTCAACGCTTGAAGGCAACACCCCTTAACACGGTTTCGATGTGGTTCATGGCTATGTAGCATCTTCTGCCGCTTGCTTCATTCCCTCATTAGCTATTCATTAGTTTATTATAATATGTCTAGGTATTGCCAGCAGGGTGAATATCTGTTGAAGATTCCTTAACGGCTTGTCGAGGATTTTCGCCTGATCAGTCACTCTCTCCTGCGCCGACATTCA